GTTTGACTACATCAGTACGACCTGGTTGTGAAGAGAAAATATCTGAATACTGATGTAACACATGCCTTAACTGTTTTTCTTGCTCTACAGAAAGATCGGATGATGTTAAATCGAGTTTTGAAAACAAGTCATCTGAATTATCTGTTTTATTAACTGTCCTAGCGGTTGATTCTAACTTATTGGTGAGATTTAAAACCGAAGACTGAAAACTGTCTGATTTTGAATCTGTGAAACTTGTCTTCTGTGCTAAAGAATGTATGAACACATTCATAGAAGATTCTGGCCTTACATCTATACTATGATCCTTAACAATGGAAACAGCAGAAAGCGAAAATAACGAACCAAAATCAGACTCTATGACATCGGTATCAGATGGAATTTCGCTTTTCAAATTTTTAATAGATCGATATGGCGAAACTTGTTCGACGTTGCTAATTTGATCTGAATTAAATCCTTCTTTTACTTCGGGCTTCGGTGATTCTCCTGAATTGTTTGTAGATGTATCAACGTCTCCTTCGAACGTTTGTGCACTAAAAACAGACGGGAATGGATCAAGATAAGCCATCTTCTGTCCAGAACGGATATATGTTCATCGTGAAGTCAGATTTGCAACCTTCGCCGTGGTTATATTCTTATCAACTGTGACAATGCTGTTAGCTGTAGATAAGCGTGTGTTTACACCTGTAGTAGATGCTTCCCACTTCTGATCACTTATCTCTGATGGTGTTCTAACAGAAACAAAAGTCTGATGGAAAGGAGGCAATCTTTTCTTTTCTAAGGCATAAACAGAAATATCTAATCTGCCTGATTGATGTAAATCGATAGATAGAAGAAATTTGGCCAGAGGCTTGTCTCTTAACCAAAACTTGCGATCCTGAATATCGAGTACTAGACCAGTTTCAAACATAAAATCTGTACCCAATAACACTTTTTGGTTGAATTTACGTGCGAGGATAACGGGATGATGGGAATTTTGGCCAGCTATGATTATACTAGCTTCTACCCAGCCAACTGGCTCAATAGAACCACCTTCAGGCCCGACAATATCAGCACCTGAATAAGAAGTAATTGGATCAGCACCTTTTAAAAGATGCCAGTAATCTAAACTGACTATACTGACACCGGTACCAGTGTCTAAAGTGAAAATCCCTACTGTTTCAAGTAGTTTTCCTTTGGCGGAGGCACAACCTCGTTTAATTGTGTAAGAATTATATGATGAAATGATATTTTCTTTGATTTTGCTCTCTAATTTAAGAATGGTAGTAATAAAACCGAAAGATTCAGACGATGAAGCAGATAGGGTTTCCTTTTCAGACTCATCTTTGCTTTCTAACTTTTTCGGTCTTCCTTTTCTTTTCTTTGATTTCTTTGTTTTGAATGAAGGAGATTTTGGAGAAGAGTCAGGCTGAGAAAGACTTGATTCTAGAATAGCAGATGGTGGTGACAACACAGTTGAAGATGTTTTCGATGAAAAAGGGGAAGAAGAAAGATGTAGAGGATCAGAATTGGATTGAGAAAAATCATCTCCACAATGACTCGACTTCAACAATGTCGCAAGAGATTTTAGAGCTCCTATCCTGCCTTTCTCTTTAGATTGTACAAATGAGGATTGATAAACAGAATGGGAGATTGGCTTATCCTCACTTAGCCGCTCCCTTTCTAGCTTAAATTATTAGATTTTCGCGCATTTTTAGAATCGCCACCCGAATAACGAGGTGCGGTAGACGGATTGTGCGGATTACTGTTCTGTTTTTGCGGACAGACATTTGCGATGTGTCCAGTTTGTTTACAAATATGACAACGGACAAGACAATGCCGTTTCCAATGTCCTTTTTTATGACAAATGGGTCAAGGTCCCGGTGGTTGTTTAATTCCACTCTGAAATGATCGGTTTGTCGAATCAAAATTAGACTGATTACTACTGTTGCTCTAATTATTATTATTATTAACTCGCCTCTGGTCGAACACTAATGCTGGCTTTTTACGACAATCATTATTATCTCTTTCACTTTTAAGTGAAGGAGTAAACGAATCATCGCCTTTCTTTATTGTTTCTGAAAACGTAGGTGATGAAGAAGAATACATACTCAAGGTTGGCGACAACAACAGTTGTTTCCGGTGTTTTCATACTTATTGGTTGACAAGTTATTGAACGAGATAATTCTTGTGAATTTACTTTTTGTGTTTCTTCCTTACGACGATAGAGTAATTGAAGCTCAGCTTTTTCAGCCTTTTTCAGAACGTCATCTAAAGACATACTGTCAGGATCACCTTTCATCCAAAGAAGAATTTCAGGTCTCAATTTTCTGAGAAGATGTTTTTTCAAAACTTTCTCTTTTATTTTCGGACTAATCTCAAGACTTAATCCTAAATATCCTTTGATAGAAATCTGCGGCTGTCTCATTTTCACCTTGAACACAATGACTACGCTCAAATTTCAGAGCTTCAACACGCTCGGGACTACGAAAGCAAATGTTGGCTGCTTTAGCTCTTACAGGGACTGAATGCATAGAAAACAAACAAACAAACAAACTTTCTTCTTTATATATATAGATTACTGTTATTATATAAAAAAAGAAAACAAATCGTTTGTTGAACAATGCGGTAAGTAGAAATATGAGTCAATAGTTCGTTGTTTGTCAATAGTATTGATGTTGACGATGAGAAAATAATATTGGTAGAGGATTGCTTGTGGTGACGTGAATTGGCGGAGACTGGTTGACAACGTTTGGACAACAGAAAAGGACACAAGAGTCCAGAAACGAATTTAGAATTTAAAATAGATAGAACTTAACACCAAAAGAAAAATTCTAAACTAAACTATATCCTTTTGTATATTCTAAAAAGGTACGAAGATAATGTGTCTTTTAAATTCGAGTTTCTATGCAACTTACGACTAGTTTATTTTTAACTAAATTAAGAATGCATAGAAGACAAAAAATAGTAAGAAGTGGTTGAACGGCCGCTACAAATACATCCCTGCCCGGCGAGATTCGTCCTCGAATCTTTTTACATTTTGAACAATGAAGTTAAGATTAGCTTTGATCAGTCTAAACCTTATGATAGATAAAATAATTTGAAATTTTGGTTATTCTAAGAAATAGGATAGATAAGAAATTTTATAACTAAGACACAATTCGCGTGGATGAAATTTTGGTTGATGAGTAAAAATATTGAATCTTAGCTCTAAATCTAAACAATCGAGATCATGAGTGACAATTTAATTCAACCATTAACGTGTTTAAAACTGATGGATCCAAAAACATTAGGCAGCAAACATCGTGCACGGGGACGAAGAGGGCGACGATTATCGCGAAAACTGCCAAGCAAAATCGGGCGATTAGTGCTGAATGAGAAGGTGATGCCAAATCCGGCCAGCAGCTCCACGACCGAACACGTGCGGCCAGCACCGATGAGTCGATCGACTCAGACAGCGAAACAACGGGATCTGCAGATTGAGGCTGCGTCAACCGATCGCTCCCAGCGGCGCACCTGCAGCTCTCCTGATAGGTGATTCGATTGTGGCGCGCGCCCGAGATCTGTTTAGTTGCAAGTCGTCCCGACGCCTGAAGATCGACGCTATGGGCGAACGCAAGTTGTCTGGTCTGAAGAGAATGCTGCTCGAGAAGACAATTGATGTTGCAAGATTTGACCGAATTATTATCTGTCTCGGCACCAATGATTTACTTGAGCGATCGGCAATGGCTATGATAGCCATTGTCGAAGAGATTGTTATCTTATTACGTGATGCAAACACAATGATTGATATTTTATTTTGTGAAATTGGGTCGAGACGTTTTCGCGGTAACCATAAATTTCCGCCAGATGATGATCATACGCTCGAGAGGATTCTGGCATACAATAGTTTGCTGGCTAACGTTTGTGGTTGTGGTGTAGTCAAGTTGAGCTACACATTGTCAGACTCTATCGATGGTCTTCATCCTGGGCCGATTGGTTTGTCAACGGTTGTGCGCATTTTGAAAGCTTATTTTGATTGACTTTCTATTCCTACTTTTTTAAATGTAGCTATGTAAACATCTCTCTCTGTATATCTGAAAAATCTCTGTAAATGCATCCCTCTCTCGCAGCTGATAATTAACATGAGACGGGATAAAGATAGAATAGAAAGAGAATGTACTCAAAGAGAAAAATGATTGTTTACAGATCGGAAAATAGAGTTATATGTACGGAGATAAACAATTAGAGAATAAAAATTTCAGATTAGGAAATTTATTCATGATATGGTCTTAATCGCTCGACATGAGCTTGACTTAACACGGCATTATCCTCTTCAGAAACCAACTCATAATCTAACGGACCAAGTTTGCGTGTGATCCGATAAGGACCGACAAATTTAGCGGCTAGCTTAGGTGTTGCCCATTTACCTAGCGCGGAACCAGCAGTATTTGCCATCAAAACTTTCTCACCTACGCTAAATTTTACATTTCTGCGATGCGAATCATACGATAATTTCTGATTTTCTTGGGCAATTTCAATATTCTCTCTAGCCGATTTATATGCCGACTCTAAAATTGCTTTCTGACGTTTACTGTAAGTTCTCACTTCCTTAGCTGATCTTAATTCATCTAGAGAATCGACTCCTAGACCATACATTAGATCAAGAGGTAATCTAAGCTCACGTCCATACATTAAGAATGCAGGCGTCTGACCTGTCGATTCATTTATGGCTGTTCGAACGGCTAATGCTAACTGTGGCAATCTGATATCCCAGGATTGCTTATCTTTTTGTGCGAAACATTGGCTTTAATGTTCTATTAACACGCTCAGATAAGTTAGATTGCGGATGGTACAGAGCAGTTGAAAATTGGATTGTGTTTTTCTCGAATAGAATTAAACAAAGGTTCTGCAACTTCTGCATAATTTTTGATAAATCGCCTATAATAGCCGGTTAGTCCTAGGAAACCAACTGTCGCTGGAATGTTGCTGGCGCATTAGTGAGCCCAAACGGCATCACATTAAACTGAAAAATACCTTCATGTGTTACAAAAGCTGTTTTATCTTTACTCTCTTCATCTAGCTCGACTTGCCAAAATCC